TCTGCCCCCCTCCCCCAAAGCAATTCCCCCAAGACACCTCCCTTCAAACCAATTGTCATTGGCTTTGTGCTGAAGAAAGGGATGTGTAATTGGCGGTCAGTTCACTGTGGTGCATTTTATTTGCACAACTAATGAGTCTAGGCTAAAGATGAGACTTTGGGGAACCTTCTGTAATCATGTGAACACAGCACAACAAGTGTTAATGAAAGAGATTTGTGGCAAGCCCTTCAAGAAGAGATGGCCTTTCTTTTCTCGTTTATTTTCGAAAGGCTTGGTTCAGAGGGAAATAGCTCTGATGCACATATGCAGGGGCAAACACACACACACACACACACACACACAAAAACCACCAATGAAATTTTAGATAAGGAGTGATAAGAGAAATGTATGCTTTTTCTATATGCGATTGTTGCGTTGTAGCTTTAGGAGCCAAACACAACAGTACTAGGAAGGATTTGGCAGCATTATTTGAATTGCCTGATACTTAAAGAAACGTTGAATACGATAGAATAGAATTCTTTATTGGCCAAGTGTGATTGGACACACAAGGAATTAGTCTTTGGTGCATATACTCTCAGTGTACATAAAAGGACAAGATACATTCATCAAGAATCATAAGGTTCAACACTTAATGATAGTCATAGTCTATCTGAGGACCCAGATTGTTGGGGGCAATATACTATTTAGTATACTGTCTTTGGTGTAAGCTGCCCAGAGTCCTCGGAGAGTGGGCGGCATAGAAATATGAAAAATAAATAAATAAATAAATAAATAAATAAATAAATAAATAAATAAATAGTCATTGCTAGTCATAGTTATTGCTAGTCATTGATAGTCATAGTCATTGCTCATGTGTATCAGCAAATTGTTTTGTATCCCAAGAATGGGACCATGACATGGTATTCGACCAACACTTCTCTCACCTATAGTCTTGAACAAGCCCTTTGTTTCTCCCATAATTAGTCCAGGTAACCCTCCAGATACATTTTATGTTACAACAGCACTGAAAAAACTGACTTATGATCATTTTTCATACTTACCACCCTTACAGCATCCCCATGGTCATGTGACCAAGATTCAAATGCTTGGCCAATTGGTTCATATTTATAACCTTATGTTTTTAAACTGTTTATACTGTATTCTTTTTTGTTTTGTTAATTGGCATGTACTTGCATGAATAAAAAGGCAAGATACACATCACTATATTCTCTTATTGAGAGTGGTTTAGTGAAGGTGGGCAAAAGGGCAATTTTGGGAGAGCAAAGTAGAAGAATATGCGGAGCTTGAAATGAAAGAGGGCAACACCAGCAAATTCCACCCCATCCCCCCTAAAACATCCTCAATTATCCTCATTCATTGGAGTATAACATGCAAATTTCACCAAGTTATAAATTCCCATATTATATGCATCCACTACGATCTAGAGGAAAGCTTTTATTTTTTTACTCACAATTAAACCTTTCATTTCTGTTTAGCTATGCATCAAAACCCTTCCCCCACCCACCCCCCAAAAATCAGGTCATTGACATTCACATCTATTGCATCTTCCTGTTTTCTCCTCTCTTCACAGACATATAACAGATGGGTTTAAATCTCTTTCATTTCATTCATTAAGTCTTGCTCTTTATTGTTTCTTCATCTTACTTCGCAACTTGCATTTTCCCAAATGCTATTACCTCAGTCAAGTAACCCATAGGTATTATTCACCAAAGCCTATTGTGACTTTGATCAATCAAGGCTTTCATATAATTTATTTATTTATTAGTCCAATTTATATGCCGCCCTTCTCCGTAGACTCAGGGCATCTTACAATGCATTATAGCAATAGCCTGCATACTTTTTTTGTATATACCTGCTTATTAGGGCTTTCGGGGGGGCCCTAAGCGGTGTTGTTCTATACAAAGTTGGCTTATTACCCCCACAATCCGGGTCCTCAATAATATAATGCTTTTAATAAAATAGAGATACTCTAATGAAGGTTAGCAGAATCCAATCCAGCATTCCAGAACTAATACCTTTTGACATATTTTGGCCAAGGTAGCACAAGTGCAACAAAACCCCAGTTTTACTCTAAGTATTCCCATGCTGTTCCTTACAAGCTGCCATTTTTAATCTAAAGCTACAGTATTTTACTTGTCATTTTCAACATTCACTTGTCCATATCTCAGTAATTAGGAGCTACCTGCAGTGTCCTGACATACATTCAGGATGGATATAAATTGAAAGAATGAATATATATATATATATATATATATATATATATATATATATATATATATATATACATAAAAGGCACCACAGACAGAATAAGCAAAATCCTCCACAAACATAACATCAAGACAGCATTCTGCACAAACCGAAAAATATCCACCATCCTAAGGAACCCCAAAGACAAAATTGAATTAGAAAATCAAGGAGTATATGAAATCCCATGCACCGCCTGCCCCACCACATACATCGGACAAACCAACAGATGAATAAGTGCACGCATAGAAGAACACAAGAACTCAGTCAGAAAAGAGGAACCAACTTCTTCCCTGGTCCAACACCTTAAAGCCACAGGACACGATATTGACTTTAAAAAGACCAGAACTATCGCCAAAACTGAACACTTTAACAACAGAATAATCAGAGAAGCCATCGAGATAGAAAAACGCCCACACAGCATGAACAAACGAGACGATACCTCCTGCCTACCAGCCATTTGGAAACCCGCCCTTATTGACAAACGAGTCCCTAACACGACGAATGACACCAGACCCACACTCATGAGAGCCACACAGGATGTCACCACCACACATCCACGCAGAAAGCAGACTCAAACCCACACTGATAATGAGCCACGACCAAGGACCAGAAGCCAGACCGCAGCTGCATCATTAGCCACTTTAAACGCCTCCAATCTATACATGAAGCAGACTGACACCCACCATGAAGAGCTCACACGGCCACAAACACGAAGCCAAACAACAACAACGCAGCTCACCAGCTCAAATCCCCCTGCAACTCAGACTAAGCTGAGCACAACCAAGCCCCCACCCAAACAGAACACACCCCCAGCCAATCAGAGCACTACCAACCCCCCATCCAATCAGAGCACAGCCAAGCCCCTAACCAATCAGAACACACCTCCACCCAATCAGAACACAGCCAAGTCCCCACCCAATCAGCTCACACCCCCACTAGCAGTTAAAAGGAAGAGACAGCTGCGATCTCACATTGCTCCTGGAAGCACGAAGCCGAGAACACCAGCCTGAAGATGACGAATGAGACTTCGTCGAAACGTCACCAAGACACTTCCAATTTTACGTGGGAGAAGACCCGAATAACCAAAGACCTACATACAAACACCCGCGAAAACCTGAGAAAACAAATATATATATATATATATATATCTTAGGGCTGCATAATATCTTGGTTTATGTAGGTAGAACTTGGCTAAAGAGAAATATATATACGAGCACAACGAGCACAACCAAGCCCCCACCTAAACAGAACATACCCCCAGCCAATCAGAGCACATCCAAACTCCCAACCAATCAGAACACACCTCCACCCAATCAGAAACAGCTGCGATCTCACATTGTTCCTAGAAGCACGAAGCCGAAAACACCAGCCTGAAGATGATGAATGAGACTTCGTCGCCAAGACAGTTCCAATTCTACGCAGGAGAAAACCCGAATAACCAAAGACCTACATATATGTGTGTGTGTGTGTGTGTGTGTGTGTGTGTTTTAACGAACTATGCCATGTAATAGACACTAGTTTAATTTCAGCAACTGCTACATCCACTTGAAAAAAGATGAAATGTTACTTTTTAATGTCTGATAATGAATTCCCATGACTAGAACACAGAAGTCAGGGTGTCCAAGCAGCAGCAAAATCCAAAGTATCATTTGGAACTTCCTGCTACAGTGTTAGTTCAAAGCGCCCCCACCACACAAGACAAAGCTCAGGAGTTTTTCCGGGATCCTGCCTCAAACCTTGATTGAAGGTTCAACCTCCAGAGAATAGGCATAAATTCAGGGTTCTTTGGGAGGGGTAAAAAAAAAATAATATGATGTCTGTAACTATGTAACAGAAGCCCCACCTCCTTTTCTGAAATGCTTTGTCAGCAATACACTTAAATGAAGGGCAAGGCTTCCATCACATGGTTACAGATACCATCTTTACTTTTTTAAGCCTCTGACTGATTAGGTCTTCATCATACACTTAGAAAAACACCCATTGTCCTCATCACCAAGTACCCACAGCTCATCCCTAGCTCCTTTCCCCAAACCATTTTGAAGGGAGTGTAAATGACATACAAAGGAGGAGAACTCCATGCTCTTTGATTTTACTCATGAAGCAGCCCAAGTAGAAAAGGGACTTTGTGCTTCAAAGCAGCTCTGTTCTAGGCAGCCAGGAGCATATAGCCTATTACAGCAATATTTTAGAATTTTGTCTAATGCCACCAGTCCAGAGTTCTGACTGGCCTTTTCTTCTTTGCTGTAAATAGGACCACCGTGGAATAATCATAAGTTACACGAGATGAGGATGACAGGTCCAGCTAGCGGGCATCAATCTTCTGCTGCAACCGTCTACACCATCTCTGCAAATGTCAGATGTTAGTGATCACATCCCCGGCCAGTCCATTTGGAAATATGACAGCCTGATGGTCAGTCTCCTGCATGACATTTTTTGGTCATTAAGAAGCAAGCCTAATGGGTGTGGAGATGTCTGAGCTGGCTGAATAAAACATATCAACAATTGTTTCATTAAATGGCGCCATTCAAGCCGGTATCATTTGCTCAGATCTATATTGAAATGCCCTTCTATTAATAAATAACTACAGCCTCTGCTCCCTACCCCCAACTCTGCCATTTATACTTAGTAACTGGGAATTTGAGTTTAGTTTTTATAGAAGTTCAAGCTAGATGTTATCTTTATTAAGGGTTCGTGTGTTCCTTAGCTCCTTTCCCCAAACCATTTTGAAGGGAGTGTAAATGACACATAAAGGAGAAGAGGGAGAACCCATGCTATTTTATTTACTCTTGATACAGCCCAAGTAGAAAAGGAGAAAGACCAACAGCAAATACCTGACTGGTTTTGAGTGCTGAAAGCACCTGTAAAAATAATGGTGTAGATCGAGAATTGTACTGGAATGATCTGCGCCGGATTTCAACTCTGCTGATGAAACTGAGAAAGAATTAACAATGTGAATCAAAATATAGTGGTCTTGCAAGTAAATGTAATTGTTTAAATGCTATTAATTCCAAGCAGAGAAACTTAAGCACGTTACTAGCTCCCTTAAAATCACACAACTCTGTGTCTAGAATATCATCTTTTTCTTTTTTTTAATATTCACAAATTGTTTTAATGCATGTGGTAAATGTGAAAAGATGATCTACTGCCTGGGTGTGCTCCAAGTTATATTTTCATAATCAAATAAATCATGTTTGTTATTGGGGTCATTTGTTATTTGGATAGCCAGCATCAGTCATAGCTTGCAATATGATTGCCTTCCTTGTTTTCAGGAGTCTGTAAACATTTCTGGCCTGTTTATTCTGGGCTTGCAAATCTCCATGAATTGTCTTGTGCCCACCTGAAACATTCTGAGCCAGTAAAACCTGGCTTTCCAAAATAGCATTTGCCGAAACAGACACGTAGTGAAATACACAATGCACATACACAAAAATATCCATAGCAAGTTAGCAAAACAATAATCATTTTAAATAACTGAAACCCACCCTCCTTCTCCCAACCCCACTTTCCCTGTTATGCTGGATATAACGCGAGGCATAAGATGATGGTTTTGGTTTAGCAAATCCTGTAATGTAGATAAAACTTCTCAAGTATTTTTGCTCCCAAAGAAAGGGGCGGGGAATCCCATGTCCCCACAATGTACCTGGGTCAGTTGTGCAATGCTGGGGAGTGGGGAGAAATTCCATCCCCAATTCCTGCAGGCAAGGAGCTTTTGCCCTTAAGCAGGAATTGCATAAACCCAGTTTACACATAGTTGATCATTTGGTCATAAAGCTGCCCAGCTCTTTCTAGTTACAGATATTTGCAATAACAAAGTGCTACTAAAAATAGTTGAAGCTTTTTTTTTTTATTATTAAAGGTGGCCTTTAAAGTTCAGTGCTTTCTCTACCCCTCCCCCCATTCCCCCCCCCCCGTTTCTTTAAAAAGGAAAAAGAGCTTTCAACTTCTTGACTAATATTAAAATATTTTAATAAACCCCACTTTTTCCAGAAGTGATCGTGGTAGATGAAAATTCTGAGAGTTGAGATTCCCAACACATTTGGAGAGCCCCAGGTTGGGGAAAGTTTCTCTAAAAGGATTAATGTAATCTGATGATAATCCTACTTCAGTCAAAATGTTGGCTACTAATCAAACATTCCAAAATCTCACAGTGTTGACAGCGGTCTGCAATTTTTATTAACTTTCTCTTCATCAACTGGACAGTAACTTCATTCTTTGCCCATTTACTGCTTGGAAGACCATACAAGAGAAAATAATACTGACAGAGCATTACGAGACAGTAAGTTTTTCTACAGCCTGTAAAAGCTAGACAAAGTACAGATTTAGAAGCAAGAGGAACAGCTTAGAAGGGAAGAAAAAGCAGTGCAGTTTAAAAAAGGGAAAGTAAATGTGTCAAGTGCAATTAGGAAAACAGCAAAGATTTTCAAGGTCAGTACCAACAATCTACATGGGAAGTCTGTATCCCTCTAGAGTTGCTGAACTGTTTTCTCATCAACTCAGCTAGCATGGCCGGTGATGAGGGATGGAGAGGGATTCTGGGAGCAAGATATCAAAGAACTACAAAGTTCACCTAATTAGATTTTAAAGTTGACTAGGTTTAGCCAATATCTATCCTTCCTTTATTTTCTGTGCGGAAAACTATGTTTTATTTTATTTATTTACCTATCAAATTTAGACATCCCCATTTTAGTATGCAGGTGCCTCTAGGCAGTTTATCATATGCAGGTGACCAGGAACTGGTCCTCTGAAGTCTGTCTTGTGAGTTGAAATGCCAGTTCAATCAATGGAAGTGTTTGCTGTTACTCCATATTGAGTTCCACAACTGAGAGGAATAACACTCTTGTGATTTGTTTACTCTCCTAGTAACTACGCCAGACAAAGGGTAAAGACAAAAAGCCATTTACTAAGTGGCTAGTTATCTCAGGCAACAGATAGTTCTCTTTGTAAGCCATTCATCCATATCACCCTGTCAAGCGAGAAAGTGGCATCGGTACACATCTGCATCAGATTACTGATCTGTAGAAGGAAACTAAGAATTAATAAAATTGTCCCCTTGGAGAATGATGGCTTAGACATCTGGCTTACCAAATGGTTGTCTGTGCGCCACTCATCTATGGTCACCTAAAATTTCTCTCCTGCAGAGGACTGATTTATCTGTTTCCCATGGATGTGATCGACTGGACGTGATTTGCCACAGAGATAACTGATTAGAAAGAGAGACATTTACAATAGAATAGAATAGAATAGAACAGAACAGAACAGAATAGAATAGAATAGAATAGAATAGAAATAGAATAGAATAGAATAGAATAGAATAGAATAGAATAGAATAGAATTACAGAATTGGAAGGGGCCTTGGAGGTCTTCTAGTTCAGGGTAGTTAGGCAGGAAACCCTATACGATTTCAGACAAATGGTTATCCAACATCTTCTTCCAACTTCCAGTGTTGGAGCATTCACAACTTCTGGAGGCAAGTTGTTCCACTGATTAATTGTTCTAACTGTCATGAAATTCCTCCTTACTGTGTTTCTGGTAATGAGTAATGAAAATGAGTTCAATTATCTATGGAGTGGCAGCAGGTGACACTCTGTGGGCTACCTGAAATGCTGGTCAGCTCTTAGTCCTGTTTCACAGCCAGGTCTTCAAGCTAATCAATTGGAAATCTGGCAAGTATAGAGGAGAGGAGAGCCAGTTTGATGTAGTACCATGTTTTCCCAAAAATAAGACCCTGTCTTATATTTTTTTGAACCCCAAAATAAGTGCTTGGCCTTATTTTTGGGGAGGTCTTATTATTTTGGGGTGCATGGAACAAGATGGGGTTCCTCTTGCCGTCTTACCTGATTTCCAGCTCTGTCTCCCTAAACCTAACCAGAGAAAATGATGGGGACCGGCTGCACATGCAGTTAAATATTTTTGGGGAGGGGTTATTTTTTTGGTGGGGTTTATTTTAGCACATGCGCTCAAAAACCCAATTGGGTTTATTATCAGGCGATGTCTTATTTTAGGGGAAACAGGGTAGTTCTAAGTTGCTTCTCTCCTTGATTAATTTCCACCTATTGCTTCTTGTCCTGTCTTCAGGTCCTTTGGAGAATAGCTTGACCCCCTCTTCTTTGTGGCAGCCCCTGAGATATTGGAACACTGCTATCATGTTCCACTTGGTCCTTCTTTTCATTAAACGAGACATACCCAGTTCCTGCAACCGTTCTTCATATGTTTTAGCCTCCAGTCTCCTAATCATCTTTGTTGCTCTTCTCTGTACTCTTTCTAGAGTCTCAAGAAGTGTAGACGTTTTGGGAACTGCAAGTACATCATTTCCAAAGAAGAAAAGCAGGAGTAAAGGGACCGTGATCAAGTAACACAGAAAAAGACCAGGGACATATATTACACTACAGTGATGTTGTGGGCACAATTCAATGAGTGCCAATTATGTGACTGCAATAGCCTTTCACGCTGCATAAGGCATGTCACAGCCATGCCTATGGAAGGAAACGTTGCAGCTAGAGAACAAATTGAATAAGTATTTGGAATGTTGATAAATAGCAATTCCTTGATAATGGACGTTCTTGCACAGGGCAGGGCAGCCAAAGTGGCTCACATGAGCTCTGCCTCCAAATAGGATGTTGTCTTCAAGAAAAGAAGAGTATCCGTGGTAATGCTAGTGGAAATTTTCTGCATGGCAACAGAGGTGAGTGTTGAGGACACTGGGGTGCTTCCAAAACAGATTGCCTGTCAGAAATAATCTGGGCTTCATCCTGACACTATCTGCACTGAGGATGAAACAGACTTCCCTCAGGGAGGCAGCCTTTTAGGAGCCAGTCTAAATAAGAAGGTTCCATTTCTTTTTCTTTTCTTTTTCTTCCTTTTTCCCTTCTCTACAGCCCCGCATAGCTCAAGTGGGGACTTGTCCATTTTAATCAGGCTGCTTTGCAAATTTCTAGGACTGAATGTACCAGGATGACTCACGCCGTGAGTTTTTTGACCTTCTCTATCTCCTTCTCTTCGCAACCTCTTGCAAAATGCAGAGTTCAGGATTGTACATGCAGAGATTGTCGGTGTCCAACTTCTCTCCACAAGGCAAATGCTACACAGTCAGGCTGGAGATAGCACTTCAGGCATTTCTCTTACCCCTCCACACATTGTACAGGTAATCCTCGACTTACAATTGTTTGTTTAGTGACTGTTCAAAATTACAGTTGCACTGAAAAAGATTTTTCACACTTACGACCATTGCAGCATTCCCATGGTCACATGATCAAAATCCAGACACTTGGCAACTGACTCATATTTATGACGGTTACAGTGTTCTGGGGTCATGTAATCATCTTTTGTGACCTTCTGACAAGTAAAATCAATGGGGAAGTCAGATTCACTTAACAACCATGTTACTAACTTAACCATACTGATTCACTTAACAACTGTGGCAAGAAAGGCTGTAAAATGGGGCAAAATTTACTTAGCAAATGTTTCACTTAGCAACAGAAATTTCAGGCTTAAATGTGGTCATAAATCAAGGACTATCTGTATTCTACCTCTAGGACAGTGATGACTAACCTTTTTGCCATTGTGTGCCAAAAGCGTGGGGAGCATGGGGGGTCACACGCATGTGTGCCCACATCCATAATTCTATGCGCCCTGCCTACCCATGTCCCCCCTGCTTTTGGCATGCGATGGCACGGTGGGCCCAGTAGGCCCATTTTTCGCTCTCCTCAGGCTCCAGAACCTTTCTAGGAGCCTGGGGAAGACAAAAACAGCCTCCCCCCCCCACCGAGGCCCTCTGGAGGCTGGAAACAGCATGTTTCCTGACTTCTGGTGGGCCCAGAAGGCCTGAAAATCAACTGGCCGGTGCACGTATGCGTGCCAGAGCTGAGCTCGCGTGCCCACCAATATGGCTCCACGTGCCACCTGTGGCACCCGTGCCATAGGTTCGCCATCACAGCTCTAGGATGTCCATACATGTCTTTGTCCAGTAGCCCCAAATTTAGAAGAGGGTTATCTAGATGGTATCATATCAGAAATGCTACAAGGAAATATGCTAATTTAAGATGAGGAATAGCAGTAGCAAGAATTAACTTATTCCTTATTGGCAGGGGTGGGCTTCAAAAATTTTAGAAAACGGGTTCTCTGCCTTGTTGCTGGGTGAGTGTGGCCATGGTGGGTGTGGCCTAGTCAGCCTCCTGCACAATGGTGGAGAGGCGTTTTTGCCCTCCCTGGGCTCCGGAGGCTTTTCTTGAGCATCCAGGAGGGCAAAAACAGCCTTCCCAAGCTCCGGAGGGCCTCTGGAGGCCAGAAATGGGACTGTTTCTGGCCTTCCTGAACTTCCAGTAGGCCCGTTTTTCACCCTCCCGAGCCTCCGCATGTGGCCTGCACTTACCTGCATCCACAACGGGCCGCGTGGGGACTCCTGGGAGGGGCGGGATGGGGTGGGCAGGGACGGCAAGGAGTGGGATTTGGGGGTTCTCCAAACTGCACAGAATCTTAGGTAGAGGTTCTCCTGAACCCCTGCGAACCCCCAGCAGCCCACCACTACTTATTGGTGGAGTAAACTGGAAGTTGAAGGCAGCAATTCAGCGAAGGAACAGTTGGGAAAGGAAGAACTCTCCAGGAAGTGAATTGAAGAGGTTGGGCATCTTTTGCCCTCTATTTAAATTCCTATAGTACATCATCAAACATGTTGTCAAAAACCAAACCCCTACAGGCCTGACAGAGAAGCAAAAAGTGTGGGCTGCAGGCAATAGATCCTAATCTTTATTAAATAAATACAAAGCCTGTTCTGGCTAATGAAAAAAACAAACTGATGAAAGATCCAGCAGACTCCTCAGAAGAAAACAAAGATTTTTCTTAATTGTTTTGGTCCAAAATTTCACAATGTTTATGGTTGGGCCTGGGCCTTTGGACAGACAAAATGCATTGTCTGTAAGCAAAGATGAAACCAGGACATCCGAATATGAGTTTGTTAATTATTGTTAACTGCAAAGCAATAATGTAGAGAATGCCTAAAATTCTGATTTTTCTTTAAAATTACTTGGAAGGCCTTTCCTGAGTCTTTTGATGTTTATTTTCATATTTTGGGTTTGTGGCATGTTACACTAATAAAGTCAGAATGTTTGCTTTTCTGCATTAAAAATGATAGGATTATTAATATTTGGATTTCTGTCCCATCTAGGCTACCTGCTGTTGCAATATGTTTCACTTATAGACAAATGCAATGAATTATTCAGAATATTAACGTAACAGCAAAATAGCACAAAACACAATGTTCCAACATGTAAAATTATAAAGTGGTTAATACCACTTTATAATGCCTTGGTAAGGCCACACCTGGAATACTGTATCCAGTTTTGGTCACCACATGTAAAACAGTTGTCGAGAGTGCAGAGAAGAGCAACAAAGGTGATTAGGGGACTGGAGGCTAAAACATATAAAGAACGGTTGCTGGAACTGGGTATGTCTCGTTTAATGAAAAGAAGGACCAGAGGAGACATGATAGCAGTGTTCCAATATCTCAGGGGCTGCCACAAAGAAGAGGGAGTCAAGCTATTCTCCAAAGCACCTGAGGGTAGGACAAGAAGCAATGGGTGGAAACTAATCAAGGAGAGAAGCAACTTAGAACTAAGGAGAAATTTCCTGACAGTTAGAACAATTAATCAGTGGGACGACTTGCCTCTAGAAGTTGTAAATGCTCCAACACTGGAAGTTTTTAAGAAGATGTTGGATAACCATTTGTCTGAGGTGGTGTAGGGTATCCTGCCTAAGCAGGGGGTTGGATTAGAAGACCTCCAAGGTCCCTTCCAACTCTGTTATTCTATTCTATTCTAAAATACCACAGCAGAAATGCTTTTAAAGACAGCTCAGTGTAATGATCAAGATATAGGAACACATAAAAATATTTTTAATTATTTCCTCAATGAAGAGGTATTAAGCACAACGGTGTTCTGGAGGTGAGGCATTATTTTAGAAAGTCCCTACTCTCAGTAACTTACCATCGTAGTAGCTCTTGCTACTAGACCAGAAAACAGGCCCCTTGATGCTGATCTTAATGCTCTGCCAAAATCATTTGGGAGAAGGTGGCTTTTCAGATATCATGATCCCAAATTATTTAAGGTTAAACTAAGATCAATATCAGCACTTTACACTGGGGTTGGAAACAAATAGGCTGCCAATGTAACACAGCAGGTAGAAGTTGATATGAATGCCTGGACTCTACAAGTGTTCTATGCATGCAGATCCCATTATGACAGTCTAGATCAGGGGTCTCCAACCTTGGCATCTTTAAGGCTTGTGGACTTCAATTCCCAGAATTCCACAGCCAGCAAAGCTGGCTGTGGAGTTCTTGGAGTTGAAGTCCACAAGTCTTAAAGGTGCCAAGGTTGGAGACCCCTGATCTAGATTACACATAACTGAACCATGGGTCATTTAGATCTTTCTATTGCAGATAAGTTGCAATTGATGAATTGGCCAAACCTAATAAAAAGTATTAATACTGCCTTGGATATCCTAGTTCCAGGTTGAATCTCTCTTTAACAGTTTTCCACCCATTACTCCTTGTCTTGCTTTCAGGTGCTTTGGAGAATAAGTTGACTCTGCCTTCTCTGTGATAGCCCCTCAAGTACAAGAATACTGCTGTCATATCCCACTTGTACCCATCTTATCCAATAAATGTTAATGCTGAAAAGACAGCCTAAGTTGGCAGGAAAATATGCTAACATGAAATTCACTGTCTCCACTGACTAGGGCTACCGTATTCCGAGTGCAAAAACCTGGAAAACTTTAATACGATGAATAGGCTTGCTATTCCGTCCTCTGTTTTCCCCACAACAATCCTGTGAGGTGAGTTGGGCTGAGAGAAAGGGACACTGGCCCAAAGTCAACAAGCCAGTTTTCCATGTCTAAGTCAGAACTAGAATTCACAGTTTCCTTGTTTCTAGACCCATACTATATGATCATTTGGCTATTTCAAAAGATAAGATATATTTATGAGCCAAGGTGGCGCAGGGGTTAGAATGCAGTACTGCAGGCTACTTCAGCTGACTGCTAGCTGGAGTTCGTCTGTTCAAATCTCATCGGCTCAAGGTTGACTCAGCCTTCCATCCTTCCGAGGTGGGTCAAATGAGGACCCAGATTGTTGGGGGCAATATGTTGACTCTGTAAACCGCTTAGAGAGAGCTGTAAAAGCACTATGAAGCAGTATATAAGTCTAAGTGCTGTGGCTAGGTATAGCTGGGAGAGATATACACCACGCCACACACCACACAACGCCACACTATATCATACCATACTAAACTATACCATACCATATCTTAGCTGTGTTGTGCTATGCTGCACAATGCTGCACTGCACTGTGCTGTGCTATACATGCACAATACCAGTATATTTGTGTTTTCATGTCAGCATTGACTCCTGGAGACTGCCTGGACAAGTCCATGCAGTTTTCTTGGCAAGATTTAAGATGTTGTTTGCCATTGCTTCCTTCTTAGGGTTAAGAGAAAATGACTGGCCCACAGTCACAAAGCTAGCTTTGAGCCCAAAGAAGAACTAGAACTCACAATCTCCTGGTTTCTGGCCTGGTGCCTTAAACACTAGACCAAAACAAATATATCCATCTGCCTGAAATGAATCTCTCTGTCCTTGGAGTTCCGTGTTTAGAATCCCACACTTGGGCCTTCTCAGTGACGCCCTCTTTCATGGAGAAATGTGCTTTTTATCTTGCTGATATTTTACAGGGATGTCAACACTTGACTCTGGGAGAGAACATTTTTGAAGAAGTTAAGCTTTGCACTTGCCTCTAGCGAATGGCGCCATTGTGATTATATTGCAGTCTTTTTCAGCGTTTTGAATTCTTGCTTATACTGCATTCTGCTCAGAGCAGTTTGAATCAAGTGCCAAGGAAAGGGGAAAGAAAGAAGGAGAAATACATAGGAGGATGGGAGACGTGAAAAATTGTGAAAATAATGTGGAGAAACTCACAGGCTGGCAACATGTTATACAGCAGCACCATGCTTTTTACTCTAAAAAAAAGTTGGGATTGTGAAAACAGTGTCATGGGATTGTACATGGGAACATTTGAAATCTCATGTGTACATTAAAATAATTTGGTATAGTCAAAATCGGATAATGTTTAGCAATTTTCTGACATTTCAGGCAAGTTTTGCTCTCTCTTTTCAGGACCCAAGATCATGCAAGATCACGGACTGATGCCTGATGCCTACAGCCAGAAAAGGTTGCTGATTCCAGGACTCCGTGAAATCCTGAAGAGAAAGTACTCCACAGTGTATGTCTGCTGCAGCTCTGGCATTTTAAAAAAATTTTTTAATGTTCTTTATTTCACCTTTTCATTACCCCACTTCCAACACGCGAAGGTGGAAATGAGAGGAATGCAGCAATTCTCAGCCACCAGCATGGCTAAGCCTGCAAGCACCTTCTTTAGAGCCTGCAAAGTTCACCACACCTGACTGTTTTTCTAACAGGGCTCTGGCATGCTACGAACCACCATCTCCCTGTAGAATTAGCTTTAGTGGTAGGACTGATCATGGGGCTCAAAAACCTCCTGCAGTACTGTTATAAAATACATATGGTCAATAGTTGCAAGCCTAAAACTTCTCTGCATCCTGAAAAAAAAGCCAAAATCAAGGTAACCTTGGATTGTAAATCTTACCCTAGAGATTAGAAGACTGCTGAGAATCATCAGCCCCATTTGCCTTCTAGTAAAGCAATGCTTTGTGACTAGTCATAGCCAATTTGTGGCAATGCTCAGCATGCTTTTAAAATGCAAAAGATGAAAGGTGAATGTATTCACTTAATCCGTCTGGAGCCTCCAAGGAGATGAAGGCTGCTTGTGTAGATTCACATCCCTTGCATATGAAAGGCAACGAAATACCAGTTAGAGCGGGTAGAGCAGCCCTCACAGCCTCCTTGCATTCTATAATTTTCATATACCAGAGAGGGACTGTAGGCAATTGCATTTAAAGGTCTTTATTTACGCTTATTTAGACTTACAGGTCACTTCAGTTTTACCTACTCTTAGTTGCAATTACAGGTAAGTAAGCCAATGTCATGCGGCAAATCTAGACACAGTTTGGATCATACATTGTGCTAAGCCACGACTGCTTATTTTTGGCTTACTGGGATGCCAAAGTATCAATGATGAAGCCATGGCTTGTGTTAAGATGTATTAACAATAATTCTAAATTAAGATTTGTGATTAGTTTATTGATTTCAATTGTGGCTTAACAAGAAATATAAATAGGAACACCAGGCTTGTTTGTGATTTCTTATTCCAAAAACCAAGGCTAAACAGAGAAAAACTTCTGTGCTGATTGATGGAACTAAACAGACATTCTATGGCAACTTGGGTTCTGTCACCACAGTTAGGGCTGGTATGCAGACAATAGTGTACAAAATACTAGAGTGCAACCTGGACTTCCTAATAAATTGAATTAAATTTACATTGTACATTTGATTCCAGCTACCAATAACAGTAACAGTGTCCCTTAACAGCATTTGTGCTACTTCTCTTGCAAACTTATTCAACTCATTCAACAAGTACTAAATTCTACTGTTTGATTATTCACTCTTGTATATTAAGAATTTTGATTTTTTTCCTAACAGGGTGAACACACAATCATAGCTGCTACAGCTGAATTATATAATAGCTTTGTCTTTTCCTTGGGAATTGAATATTAAAGACTAGTATTTTAAAGGGTTGGCAACAGTGCTGTCTTTCTTTTGCAAACTGATCTGTCATTGACCCCTTTTTTCACCTTTTTTCATATTCTGATTGGGCAAGATTAGGGCAATTCCTTACTTGGGCCTGAAAAAGAAAGCCAGAATGGATTAGAACCTGTCTATTGCCATCCTCTAAGCTCTGCTCTGCATCTCCAAAAGGAAAGCTAAACTTTGGGTCTGTAAGAATGGATTCCAATCCAAAGTTCACAAGTTGGGTTTGAAGGGCAGTAGAGTGATTTGATTAGAGATTGCAAAAGACTGCAGTTCCTTCTCTGGCTCCATCATCGCTGACCATGAAACCGCAGCCATGGCTGCTTTAATGTACTGTGGCTGAACTTATCACCAACAGGTCAAAGGGGATGCAATTTACTTGGGCTTTGATGCATTCGATACAGTTGGGAGGGGGGATGGGAGACAGTGGGGGAGAAGAGGTGCAGGGAAAGGATTTTGCCTGTTTACATTAGAACTGGATTCGTGTGAAGTTGACCGAGCCAGCTTCAACCAGAGAGAGAGAGAGACAGACAGACAGTCAGAGAGAGAGAGAGAGGGAGGGAGGGAGAGAGACTTAAGTGGTAATCTAAATCATGAAAGGGTTCTGGCGAGAAAAAGAAAGGGGTCTGTTTGCTTAGACTGGAGCTGATTCTGGAGGAGTCAGGCTGAGTGTTTGTCGGCAGAGGCCCTTTTATCTCCATTTCTCTGCATTGTTTGCCTTCTTTGGAATTGACTCACTGACGGACTCTTCCTGGAGAGTCTGAACCTGCCCCTCTCCCTTGGGATAAATCCCAAAGACCAACTTGGAGAGCTTGCCAGGAGGGCTCCATAACCAAAGAGCTTGCTCATTATTTGCTGTGCATTCTAGTTCATCCCAATCAATGTATGTTATAGATTTTGCTTGGTTTTTTTTTTTTTTTTGGTAATGTGATAGCTTGGCTACTTAGGCTTGTAGGTTGCCTTACTTTGAGAATTCCAGAATAATTGTGCTATATGCAATGGCTCTTACTCATTTCTCCTTTGTTTGACAAAAGCTGTGACAGGATACAAAATAAAGGCGAGGGAACTCAAGGAAGAGTTCAGTCACCAACTCATGAAAATATAGGAACATCAGTCAGGAGTAAGGCTCAGATGGGCAGGATCAAAAAAAAGAGGGCAAAAGTGATTACCAATAGATCTGCATAAAGCACAGATTTAAAAATAATCATTACCACTGAAAGAGAAATACAGTGTAACTCACAATAGTGGAGAAGATTAGATTGGGCAGTCAATCTGCTATCAGTTTATTAATATTAATTATCAGATGTTTGCCCCCCTCTCTCTCTCCCTCCCTCCCTCCCTCCCTCTCTCTCTCTCTCTTTACTTTAATATGGACTTGGGGTGGGGGACAATTCTGGCCATCAGAAAGAGTGTTAAGAATTGGCAGAGGGGACCAAAGAGAGTTAGGCATCCATAAGGATGGTTGATATTGTGAGGTTATTCT